CGGGCTGGTTGGCGCGCGGTCAGTCCTGCGCCTGTTGCCTAGCCCGGCGGCGGAGCTCACTCCTCCCGTGCGCTGACCTCTCCGTGCCGCGATGCACTGTTGTCCCACCAGCTTCTCCTGCTGACGTGGCCTCTTGTTCCTTTAACTGTGCCTGGAGGAACCTTTATTCGGTTGTGAATAAGCTTATCCCACAGCCTTGATTAACCTGAGGCTCTCCCCCTCGGCACCCTGCAGAAATGGCCTCTCTGGAACTCTCCCCACAGGTGACTCATTCTTCCACATCCCAGACACTCCCTCAGTTTCAGCCACTGCCCTTCAGACTCCACTTGAGCTAACGGAGGCCACACCCTGCAGCTTGTCACCTTAAGTGCCCTCACCATTGAGATCTTAAACTTGGCCAAATTCTGACTGCAGCCTCGTCAATTGCTAGCTTCCTCTTTGCTAGGTTCCTTCTGCCTCTCTTGTTCTTTGAGTGTATGAAGCCTCCAGTGCTTTCTCTGAGCGTGACTCTCCTGCTTCCCTCTTTCCCAGAACAATCACAGCCTCTGATGCATCACTTCATCCAGTTTTATCAGCACACTCAGTGTCCTTGACTCATTATTCCATCGTATCTATCCTGCAAATGGTCAGCTTTAGAGAAATCCATCCAGGACTTCCAATCTCAGACAGGCTAGACAAATGTACTGTCCTAACTGACGTGACTAAAAAACTGGGGAAAATATATGTATATATTTTAAGATGATTTTCAGGACACTGGCCTTCAAATAATGAAGGGAACAGGAAACAGATTAGGTGACCCCTAGGTCTCCCCCGGCTTACAGCCTTGAAAGAATGTCCAGGTAGTGGGTACAGGGAGGGGGAATCCAGGTGTAGCCTGGTGGTCTCCCTTAATTGAAAGGAGAGCTCCCTTATTTGAGCTGAGAGTTCCAAAATGCCAAGGTGGATCGAGTCTGCAGGGTGGAGCAGCAGAGATGAGAGCTGCATAGAGAAGGAATTCTGAACGCATGCAGTGTCCCAGTCAAGTCTTCAGCCAAGTACTGAACAGGATAAGCATACAAGGAAATGACCCGAAACCGAGGAAGGAACCGCCCAAAAGGATTAGAGAGAAAAATGCTCCAAGTTCACGTGGGGCTATATAGCCCCTGTCCCTGTTGAGCAGAGAACCCAGAAAGGTTTTGCCCCAGTAAGTGGGGAAATTATCTGCAGACTAAACACAGCTGTAGTCCTGCCTAGCAAAGCAGTAACTGAAGGGATCAAACTGTTTCCGAGTAACTGCATCACAGAGCAAAACTTCAGAATATTTGTAGGAATACAAAAACATCCAGCACTCAAGAAAGAAAGATTGACAGTGTCTGGCATCCAGTCCAAAATTACCAGGCATACAAAGACACAGGAAAATATGACACACAAAAAAGAGAAGAAAAACCAATCCATTGAAACTAACCCAGAAATAATATGGAAGATCGAATTAGTAGACAAATACATTAAAGCAGTTATTTTATAACATCATTCCAGATGACCAAGAAGCCAGAGAAAAGATTTAGTATATTTAAGCAAAAACATGGAAGATATTTTAAAAATCCAAATAGGACTTCAAAAGATGAAAACTACAGAGCCTGAGGGGTTTTTTTAAATATAGTAATGAGGTTAACAGCAAACTAGACTGCAGAAGGAAAAAGTAGTCAACTTATAGCAATAGAAATTATTCAAAATAAAACACACAGAGAAGATTGGGCAAAAATGATCAAAGCATTGGTGAACTTGATGTCCCCCCAGCGTTGGGGAAGAGATACAGAAAAAATGTGAAGAAATATGGCAGGAATTTTCCAAACTGGATGGAAATTATAAATCCACAAATCCAAAAAGCCCAGTCAACTTCCAGCACCAGAAACATGAACAAAACTACACCAACGTACATCATAATCAGATTGCTTAAAACCAGTTACAGAGAGAAAACTCTTAAAGCAGCCAGAGGCGGGGAACAAAACATTGTGTGCAGAGAAAAACAGGAAGGACAGCAGACTTCTTTTTGGACACAATGCAAGCCAGAAGACGGTGGAGCAGTAATGTAGAGTACTGAATGAGGTGTGAACTGTCAGCCTGGACTGCTATACTTAGCAAGAATGTTTACCAAAACAAAGGTAAAACAGAGATGCTTACGACATACAAAAGTTGAACAAACCATCACCAGAAGACCCATCAATGTAAGAAAGGAAGACTGTGTCTCAGGTGGAAATCTACGTCTGCACAAGGGAATGAAAAAGCACTGGAATGAGTGACTACATAGGCAGTCCCCCATGGATAAATACAAGATTTGTTTTCTTATTATTTAAACATCCTTAAGGGAAAATTGCCTGTTAAAGCATAGTAACATGATTGAAGACCCAGACGTAAGCCTGGATACTCTAAAACTTCTAGAGGAAAACAGAGGCAGAACACTCTTTGACATAAATCAGGATGGTATTTTTTTTGGATCTGTCTCCTAGAGCAGTGGAAATAAAAGCAAAAATAACAAATGGGACTTAATTAAAAAGTTTTTGCACAGCAAAGGAAACCATAAACAAAACAAGATAACCTATAGACTGAGAGAAAATATTTGCAAACGATGCAACTGACAAGGGATTAATTTCCAAAATGTATAAACAGTTCATACAACTTAATATAAAAAAAAACCCAGTCAAAAAATGGGCAGAAGCTATAAATAGTTATTTCTCCAAAGAAAATACACAGCTAGCCAACTGACACATGAAAATATGCTCAGTATCACTAATTATTAGAGAAATGCACATCGAAACTACTGGCCTCACACCAGTAGAACGGCCATCGTTAAAACGTCTACAAATAATAAATGCTGAGAGAGTGTGGAGACTCCTGCACTGCTGGTGGGAATGTAGATTGATGCAGCCACTATGGGCAATAGTATAGTTTCCTAAAAAAACTAAAAAATAGAGTTACCATATGACCCAGCAGTCCTACTCCTGGGCATATATCCAGAGAAAACTCTAATTCAAAAAGATACATGCATCCTAGTGTTCATAGCAGCACTATTTACAATAGCCAAGACATGGAAACAACCCAAATGTTCATCAACAGATGACTGAATAAAGAAGCTCTGGATGGACCCAGAGATTATCATACAAAGTGAAGTAAATTAGACAGAGACAGACAGATACCGTATGATATCACTTATATGTGGAATCTGAAAAAAATGATACAAATGAACTTGTTTATAAACCGGGAATAGACTCACAGACATAGAAAACGAACTTACAGTTACTAAAGGGGAAGAGGGTGAGGAGTTTGGGATTAACATATACACGCTACTATGTGTAAAACAGATAGACAACAGGGACCTTCTGTAGAGCACAAGGAACTCTATTCAGTATCTTATAATAACCTTTAATGGAAAAGAATCTGGACAAGAATAGACATGTACGTATAACTGAATCGCTTTGCTATGCACGTGAAACTTAACACATTCATCAACGATACTTGAATTAAAAAACATGAGAATGTAGTGTGTAATTTATAACCGAGGTGGAAGGAAAAGGTGTGACAACAGTAGCATGAAGGAAGAGGGGACAAATGGAAGTCTCCTGCTGTGAGAGTCCTCTGGTGTCAAAGTGGGAAGGTATCACTTGCAGGTAAACAGTGACAAAGATGTGAACTATAAGCCCCGTGGCAGCCACCGGAATGACACAACAAAGGGATTAAAAATTGAATCATTAAAAAGACTCCATCCATCCAACAGAAGACAGGAAAAGAGAAAAACAGCACAAAGAGCAGAGGGGACAAATAGAAAACAAAGAGCAAGATGGTAGATTTAAACTCAGCTACATCAATAATCACATTACAGTGTTAAATGGACTAACTGCCCCAATTGAAAATCAGAGGTTGTCAGATGGGATTAAAAAAAGCAAGACTGCTTACAAGAAACCCACTTTAAACATAAACAAAGAGAGAAACCTATCTGCTTTCTTCAATACAACCAAGCTGCTGAGAACTGCTAGGAAAAAAAAACATAAATGGGCATATTATTGCTGTAGTAAATTCATGGTATCCATCCTTCCTTTCCGACTCCCCATGCAAATAATCCAGGACTGTCTACACTCAAGCTGCGTACACTGCCGCAATGGCTTTGTTTCCTCCTCCACAGGAAAAATAAGTGGTCCACCCTCATATCTATAAATACATTTATCTCCACACCCATTCTCACCTCCTTTTTGCCAAATTCAGAGAAACAAGCCTTCAGGAGACAGACCCCGGGGCAGGAGCCACCTCTGAAGGCCCAGGCCCGGGTCCGTATCCTACCGGGGATGGACGGTGAGCGTGCCTTCTCTGCTTCTTGGGAAGAGCCTTCTCACCGCCTCTGTACTTGACACCCATTTCCCCCAGGGGTTTGATCAGGAAACCTGAGCTTTTCAGAACCACCCACCTAAGCTTCTCCCAGACACCTGACCCTCAGAAACTACGTGAGATAATAGATATTTGTTATTTTAAGATGGTAGGTTTTAAAGATAATGCTGTGTCTCTGACTTAGGGTCCAACTCTGGTACCTAATAGGAGCTTCCGGCAAGAGGTACTCCTAGCCTAGAAATTCAAAAGTGTGGATCTCTTGCTTCTCCCCAGGTTCCTTCTGCTCAGGGGTTATTTCCCGAAGCGTGACACAGACCACAGATAGTTCATGAGATGATCATAGTCGGTGCAAAGATGAGCATTTGCTTGGATCATGTGTCTGTTTCACTGTGTGTTAGAGAAGGGCTGGTTTTCCATTTGCAGTGCTGATGGATTTTTATTAGTGTCGGGGGCGTTTGTGCGTGGAGAGGAACAGTCACTGCTAGTTGTAATTTAGGCAACGTCCCAGTTATTAATCTTAGGAATTTATTAGACAATTAGCATTTCTTAGATATTAAATAATCAACTTTGCCCTAAATATTTACAATTACTTACAACTAATAAATAAAAAATTACGGATTTAACATAATAAATGTTCCCAATCAATAAAACAAACCTAGATTACAAACTTAAGCCAGCACTTCTAAGCATTTAATTAAAATCTTGAGTCATAGTCATTCCCTTCACTAAGCTGACTCTTCACGTGCAAAATAGTCACACACGAAATGCAAAAAGTACAAAACTGATTAATGTCCTTACACCAAAAGAGGTTACAGTGATAGATACGGTGGCTTTTATTGTGTTCCTTTTCTGGGGTTTCTGTTTGTTTTGTTTTTAACTTTTTTTTTAATGGAGGCACTGGGGCTTGAACCCAGGCCCGCGTGCACGCTAAGCCCCCTCCCCCGAGCTGTGCCCGCCCCCAGACTCCTTTTTGGATCATCACTCTTCTCAAAACCCCCAGTTATCGCTTTTGTTACACTGTCCTGGGATTTTAGTACCTCTGTCAGTTCAGTAACTGATATTTTCCGTCTTTCTAGAATTTTGGAAACTTTACCAGACCCCAGAGTAAGAGAATACTGCCTTGATACACCCCTGGGAGATGGTGGGCCTTGGGCTGGCGACGTAATGATTCTTGGTCAGGATACAACTGAACAGACAAGTCGATTCAAACCTGAGCCACTGGTCATCAGGGTGAGTTTCTTTTTCTTGCAAGGAAGCTCCCCTTGTAGTATCGGGACCTTTAGTTGCTTCCTTTGAGACTTGGAACCCTTTCCAGGGACGGAGTGGCCCCTCAGATCTGCACGCCGCCCCTGCTTACTGAGCAGTGGCTGAGAGGCGCTGGGCCGGTCTGTTACCGGGATTGGAAGCTCACAGACATACGTCCTATTACTGTCTCCCTAGAAACAGTGGTGGTGTCCAGGGGTTTCACTCCTTGAGAAAAGAGGGGGTGAGTCTGGGGTTCGCGTCTTCTGTTCAGGACATTTGGCTAATTTATTATCTAGGGACACGTGTTTGGATAGCCGTTAACGGGTGAGAGCGGTGAAGCTCATGGCCAGGTCTTCACTTCCCACTTACCGTCCACAGAAATTTCTCGCTCTTGGCAGCGTTCCTCTTCATGCTGGGTGTGCTGTAGCTGACTCGCCAATTTCAGTCACTCCTCCTGCTTCTGCTGGTCCGTTCCTATGTCTGATAAATAGTCAGGAGCTTACCAGAGGATCGCTGTATCCACGGACTGCAGAGATGAAACACTTCTGTTATTGAAAGTAACAAGGATGAGGCATATTCTGAGTTCACCCTTTTTTTTGAATAACTTCATTATTTTGTTACTGATCCTGACATTTTTTTAATTCTTGCTCCAAAACATGCATTCAGTCCCCAATTTAGTCATTGTCGTTTCACTGGAGAAGAGCGTTAGTGGCCAAGATCTGGGCTGCACGAGTGTTCACGAGCCACGGTTCCATCAATCACCAAACCTTCCTCTCCAGGGCTGATGGATGGTAGGGACACACAGCTCCCTGTGATGAAACATTTAACATTAAAAAGTGAGGTAGTTAGAAAAGAACTGCCTGTAAGGAATATCACTGGCCGAGACGAACGCCCCATGTGTGGACTGTGAATGTGTGGCCCTCTGAACTTGCCCCCTGGTCTGTCCACCTGTGAGCCCCACCCCCAACTGTGCTGGACCTGCCCTAACAAAGCTCCCCAGACCGGGGGCTTCAAACAACAGAAAGGTATTGTCTCGGTTCTGGAAGCTAGAAATACGATGTCAAAGTGTCAGCAGGGCCCTGCTCCCCCAAGACCTGGCAGGGAGGGGGGGGTTCTCCTTGCCTCCCCCCGCTTCCGGTGGTGGCCAGCCACCCTGGGGGCTCATTGACTTACAGTTACAGCACTTTAGCCTCTGGGTCTGTCCCCACGTGGCCGTCCTCTCCAGTGTGTCTGCGTGTCTCTCCTGATAAGGACACCACTCATTCAGGGCCTACTCTGCTCCAGTGTGACCTCATCTCAACTAATGACACCGCCAATGGCCCTGTCTCCAAATAAGGTCGCATTCCCAGGTCCTGGGGGTTAGGACTTGAACATATCTTTGGGGGGCACAGGTCAGCCCACAGCAGGCCTGTCAGCCGTGGCCTTTCACTAGAGGTGACAAGAGCAGAGGCCGGGGAGGCCGGAGGCAGCAGTGCGGGGAATATAGAGGCGTGCGGTCCCATGCGGGGCCCAGGCCCACCCAGCAGACCTCAAACCTGCTTTGCAAACTCTCGACCGGAAGGGTGGTTGATTGAGCAGAATTCAGTTCATAGTGGAGAGGTAGTTTGGAAGAAGGGAGGATGGTCTTGCTTACTTAAAGGTTCCTAAAAGTGGGGAGGCTGGGATGCTTCAGAGGTTCCCTCGTTTTGTCCGAGGAGCAGCCTGGGCCCCTGGGCAGAACCGTGGACCCCAGGCCCCCAGCAGCTCTGCTCCTGTTTCTCTTTCCATTTGTGCAGCTGCCTCTCTGGGTCCAAATCAAGGTGGGTTCCTTGTGCATATCACTTGTTCCTCAGTCTTTTCTTTTTGGTGGCAAAATACACGTAAAATCGATCATCTCTATTAATAAGTAGGAAGTAAAACATTGCAACGCAGCTGCCAGCGATGGGCGGCGTAGAGGAAGTTGCTCCTTGCTGCTGCGTCTGGGTAGCTGTGCCTCCTGGACCCCAGGCTCTTCCAGCAGTTTCCATGAACAAGATGGACACCCCAGCCCCCGAGCTCTGCTCGCAACTGGCCAAGCCTGTAAACAGAGATAATGCCAGCACTGGGCCACGGATGCTGTGCGTAGCCGCCTGTGGAGGTTCCTTTCTCCCTATGTGTTAATACAAACAATAGGCTGAAAATGTAATTACCACTGCTGACTTCATTAAGAGCAGCTCTGAAGGTTACTCCTCGGTCCTGGGGTAGAAAAGACTGGATTGGGGCCATCTGTCCTCGCCAGCCCTGTGGTGGACCTCGCCGTTGGCTGCCCCAGGAAGCCAGTTTCATCAGCCCCATTTTGCAGGCACCGAACTGATCTTGGGGAGGGGGATGGGGGCCTCCCCTAGGCTGCCCCATCAGCCAGGGGCCATGGCAGGACTTGAACTTGGGGGATTGGCACCCACGTGCCCCTGGGGCCTTCCCAGAGGGTCCAGGCCCGGAGCCAACTTCCTGGGTTCAGGCTCTTTGGCTGTTTGATCTTGGGCAGTTTATCTAAGCTCTGTGTCTTCATTTGCACATCTGGACAAAACCAGGCGCTTCTTGGCAACCGGCATGTTTCAGAAAATCCGTGGGTTCTTCTTTCTCTCCTTCCTCCTCACTGAAGATGAACTGCCGCCTGGTGACGAGCCCCTCCCGCCTTGGCAGTCTTGCCCCAGGGCATCCCCACAGAGGAGGCTCTTTCTTGCTCCCACGTGGGACACAACAGATGGGCGGCCAATTCGCAGGACAAAGCAGAAGGCAGCTGGGATGGGTGAGCCTGTGGACATGCGATGAAGGCCAGGGGAGGGTTCACAGCGGGGTCACTCAGAGCAGCCTCGGGAAACAGACCAGACTGAAAACTGCTCGACGCAACTGGGGTTCCCGGCGTTCCCGGCGTGGAGCACAATGCCCGGGAACCCGGAGACTGGGGCACCCGCGGCCGGAGTGGAGTCATTGCCTGCCCCGGGCTTCCCACGGTGCTCAGACCCTAGCACGCACGCTCCTGAGTCTCTGAACTGGACGCCCAGATGGAGCATGGAAAGGAGGTGCTTCCCTCGGCCACTCAGCCCTGCGTCTCAGGTCACTGCGGCACAGGGGCCTCCTCCTGCCCCCACCTTGCCCAGCCCAGCTCCTCTCCTCGCTGACCTCGGAGAATGACGAAACCGGTGGTCCCTCCCACAGCGGGTGCTGGGACTGAGGCCCCCAGGTGGGGAGGCTGATGGCGGCCCCCCTTCCCCTCCCCTATTGGCTGAATTGTGCGTTGTGGGGTGCACTGCTGCTCCTGGGGTCGGGGTACAGGTGGGGATACGTTGGCCCTGCTACCCACAGGCCAGTGGAAGCAGCTCCTGGCCTTAGTCACGGGACCTGAGGATGCATTTTTTTGACAGAGGGGTTCTCCATCTCCCTACCTCCAACATGGCACTGAATCAGGGCAGTGGGTCCAGCCAGGTCCAGCCTGGAGGTGGGGGCTGGGGGCCATCTCTAGGTGGAGATGCAGGGGTCCTTTGCTGAGAGTTCACGCCCAGAGTGTGGCTGGCATGAGGGAGCACCCCTGCCTCCCTGGGAGAGCAGGTGACAGCTCCTCGGGGTGGGATCTGGGGCCCACGTGCCGCCTCCGGGGAGTGTGGGCTGGCAACATGCCGCATCAGCCTAGAACTCCCTCTGAGAGGTGACACCAGCGGGCAACCAGGACTGCAGGACGAGCAGCCTGGGAGACGACCCCCGCCCCACATCACAGCCCAGGCTGGCCAGGACCGCTGGGCTCCCCTGGGGGTCTACTCCAGCCTGGCAAGAGAGTTTGCAATTCAGGGGCTGCTTGTAAGGGCTTCTGCATCCTCCCAGGACCGTCAAATCTGGGGTCATCAGGCTGAATGGCGCCTGGCTGGTTCACAAAGCCGAGAAGCTGTGGCAGCCTCCTCGGGGCTAAAGAGAGACTTTCCTGGTGCTGGAAACCTGTTGGGCTCAGGGTGCGTGTGACCCAGGAGCTGGCTCTCCCTCCTCCACCTGCTGCAGAAAGGACGTTTCACATCACCTGCTGATTTAATGAGAGGTCTCTGTCTGTCTGCCCCAGGCTTCCTTTTCTTCATGCTGTCTTAGATCTCCATCCATTTCACAAAACACTGATTTGTCAGACATTACCCTCATTTTAAATTATATATATTGGTTTAAACATAATCCACCTTCCCTTTCCGATCCCATTAGCTTATAAAAGCATTAGCAAACTGTCACACGTTTAAATGAGCGTGTAATGGGTATCGGCTTTAATTGTCAGCACCTAAGTGGCCATTACAACCAAGTGTTTTGCCTCATAAGTCAGGTAAGCCCCTCACCCTCCAAGGAAAAATGCTTGAGACTTGGCTGCTGCAAGCTTATAGCCAAATTTGCATCCCCTGGAAACACACATATAAGACACTGGTATTTTGATCAACCTTAAGTGGTGTTTGTTTGTTTGTTTGTTTTGGTAGGAAAATATACATAGCATCCGATGTGTCATTTTAACCATTTTTTTAAAGTGTCCAGTTCTGTGGAATCAGAAACATTCACACTGTTGTGCAGCCATCACCACCGTCCATCTCCAGAAATTTCTCAGCATCTTCAGCTGAAATTCTGCACCAATTAAGCAGTAACTCCCCAGCCCCCGCCCCCAGCCCCTGGCAGCCCCCATTCTACTTTCTGTCTCCATGAACTGGACCCTCTAGGTCCCTCAAGTAAGTGGCTCATACAGTATTTGTCCTTTTGTGTCTGGCTTATTTCACTCAACATAACCGAGGTTTGGCCATGTTGTAGCGTGTGTCAGAATTTCCTTCTTTTTTCCATGCTGAGCAATATTCCATCGTGTGTTTACAACACATTTTTTTTATCCATTCATCAGTCGACGGACATGGGTGGTTTCCACCTCTGGGCTGTTGCAGAGAGTACTTGTGCTGGGGGTGGGGCTTGGTTTTGTTTTACGTTCCAGTCCTCGTGTTTTCCTTTCTCTTCCTCAGCCGCTGAAATCCAAGGGTTCTTACCTGTTTTAGGGGGTCACCAACCCATTCAAGAATGTCAAACAGTTTAGGTCCTCTCCCATTGAAAAAGTTAAGTACGGCACGCCCACAAGCACTGCGTCCTTGCACCACAGGTTAATCTCTGCTGTGGATAAGCACTGTCTCCCCGGAAGCTGAAAATCAGCGGTTTTCAAATCAGAACCTGGTTGAAATGCTGAGTAAAGCAAACCATCGCTTCTGGCTTGACAGTTTTAGAAAGTGAGTGGCTGTGTCTGGAACTTCCCGGCTGTGGGCGCAACAGCAAGAAGGGTACAGAGTGTCTCGGGGGCCCTGGGGGTCAGGGGCAGAGCGCATGGTCGTGTCCCAGACGCAGAGAGGTCAGCGGCAGTGTGTGGAGGGAAGGGCGTTTGCAGGGGACGTGCGCCCGGGCAGGAGGCAGAAGCCCCTCCCTCGTTCTAGGCAGGAGTCTCCCCATGCTGGCCTCTTGCCTCCAGACCTTGGCTGCAAGGCCCCAGCCCGAAGCACCAACACTTTCCCATGATCCCAGGAATCAGCTCTGGAGCTGGAGATCCTCATTTCCAATCTCACTGCATGTAAAGTTGTGTTCCAGGAGAGGCTTCGGCCGGACAGGATGCGGTACTACCCGGCGGGGCTGCAGGAGCGCCAAGACCAGCCAGCATCAGGATCGTCTGCTGCGGCGGGGAGTGTTTCCTACAAATTGGCCACGTCTGAGCAGCAGATCTGAACAAGATCCCACTGGGTTACACGCAGAGCTGTGGCTGAGCTGACGCTGGACACCCAGGGGTGCTCGGGGACTCGTGCCCGATGTCCAGGCATAAAGATGGGAGGTGAGTTGCACGGGAGAAGTGAGTCCTCCAGTGTGCACACTTGGGGCAGTGCCATGTCTGTATTAGTGTGTGTGTGTGTGTGTGTAGGGGTGAAGCAGAAAGACCCACACAAATGTCTAAGGTCTGGTTCTCCAGAAGGCAGGACTATAGAACAAAACCTAAAGACGTCTGGTCCTGGGACACCTGGGACACTCCTGCCAGGTGCCCCACAGAGCGAGAGACAGGCCAGGGCATCCCAAGGGGACACAGCTGTGTGTAACTTTCAAGGTAGAAATGGCCGCACTGGGGCAGGGACCAGCCAAATCTTGGGGAACCCGGGCAGCAGGGCCAGCCCTGAGTGGGGCCACTCTCCTTGCACCCCAGAAACCTCGGAACCTCACTGCCAACCAACACGTAACCCTAGGGCACATCCACGTCACCTGGGGAGCTTCTACACCACCCTGATGCAGGAGCCCCATTCCAGACTTCCAGGTTCCAGACATCGCGGTCTGCACGGGACCCCCCTTGCCCTTGCTGTTTGAGCAGAAGCCTGGGCTTCCGTCTTCCAGAAAAGATAACATGAAGTCAGTCTTGGGGAAGTGTGGTCTCCAGAAAGCAAGAGGTTCGAGACCTGCTTCCCTCCCTTCTGGGCTTCCTGGGATGGGCAGAAGCGCCCACAGCATCCTCTGTTCACACTCCCCCGGCTGGAGCTCCCTGGGGGAGACTGAGCCCAGCCGCAGAGTCGGAGGGCTCTGTGCCCCGCCTCCGTCGTAAAATGGCCTGCTCTGATAGTCGTGACAGCGGCACGCTCCGTGTCACCAGGCTGTCGCGGCGTCCCCAGTGTGATTGGAAATCCAGTTCCGCAGGGTGGGGGGAGCGAGGCAGCAGCTCCCTGGAGCGGTCATGCAGGATGGGTGCCAGTATAAATCCTTCCAACGACAAGCACAGAACGTGCTCGTACCGTTACTGTTGTGCCCAGGGCTCTGCTGCAATCCCTGTCTTCCTTGTGAGCGGCACCTCTGCCCACAGATGCCACGGGGCGTATCCACCCATCCCGGGAAGGTGCCTACCCAGAGCTTAAGCTGATTTGTAACTACAGAGTGATGGATTTTGTTAGTAAATTTGTATCAGAATGAGGCAGTAATGTTCCCACACAAATTAATGTATCTCAGCAGACGTTCAATTTTTGAATATCCGGTTTTGAATATATATTACCTGATAATGTATAAACACGGAGTATATTTTATATTTCCACTCATTGTATCTCAGTCAAACCAGTAAACGTCCCAAATTGCAGAGGCACAGGAATTCGGTTTCCCGTTTCATCGAGTAGCAGCAGTTTGTTGTGGGGTAAGAGGAATGACCTGCTAACACAATTTTACAATAACAGCAACGACAAACAAAGCTAAGGGTGTTGCTCCCTTAAGCGTCAGGTATCCGCAGCTGGGGGTGGGGAGAGGGTGCAGTGCCCGCCTGGACTTGCCTCTGCCCCTTAGTGAGTGACCTTTACCCGCTACTTGGTCTCCACCCTCCTCTTCAGACGGGGACAGTCATCGTGCTACTGGGGTGGGGCGGCGGCTACTTGAAGAGAAAGAATGAAACCTAGGGACACAAAAAAGTCATGCCTTGGAAGGAGCCCATGCAAGCAAGGGACCCGGAGGCTTTGGCATCATTCGTTTCACAGTAAATCTGCCGCTAAGTCAATAAATAAAGGAAGGGGGATGAATGAATGAAGCTTTGGTATCAGCTTGTCTGGGTCTTAAAAGTTGTTTGGTATTTTATTGGGATCACGCTAAATTTATAAATTAAAATAAGGAACTGGCATCGCTGGGTTTTGGGGGGGAGGGAGGTAATTAGGTTTATTTTCTTGTTTATTTAATGGAAGTACCAGGGGTTGAACTCTGGGCCTCATGCGTGCTAGGCACGTGCTCCGCCTCTGAGCTGTGCCCCCCGGGAGCTGGCCCCTTTCCCCTGCTGAGCTCCTAGCCAAGACTGAGGGGTGCCTTCATGTTTGTTCTAGAAGCTGGAGGTGGGCGCTGAGTCTCCACGCTTTCACGTTCTTCCGTGTTGAAACCACCGCATGACGTTGAAGACACCCTGCTGCTGCTCCTGTGTGATGTGTCTTCTTTGTTCTTCTAGTTTTTCATCTTCTTTTGCTGTTTAGGAAGGTTTGAAGTTTGTTCTAGGGGTTTCCTTGTACTCACACCTTTTTAATTGCCCTGAGCCTCCAGTTATTTTACTTCCATCTTTGACCGCGTCTCTCGCTCATCGCCTGGACAACAGTCAGTGCAATCATTCTGCTTTCCTCTTGTCTGCGCCTTCTCGTCCACTTCTGGCTGAATTATTTCTCCTCTGTGTTAACATGTAACGCATGACATTAGCAGGCAGCGGGCAAAAGCTTACTCTCCTGCCCTTGTTTGACTTACTTAGTCACGGACCTTCAAGGACATACGTTAAGCGCTCACTAGAAGTCCTTTCACTGAGCTTTTCCCTTAATTTTTTTTTTTATGAAAACCACACATGTGGTGTTTTTTGTTTCGTTCTTGTTGTTGTTTGCTTTACTTTCTTGAAAATGAGAATCTTGAAAGCATCTTGTAACTGGGAGAAATGGAATTGGACCCGGGAAGTGGGAGTGGTGGGGTGTGATGGAGGTGATCTGAGTGGACACGTGACTCCGTGCTGATGCCGGCGGTGAGGGAGGTGGTGGGGGCGTCACAGCAGAGCTGACCGCTTGGCCAGGGGTCATCAAGAACACAGTACGGGTTAAAAAAAAAAACAGCAAAACCAAACACAATCTGCAGCCTCTCCAACTTGGAAAAGCACTTCACAGATTCAAAGTGCAAGGGAAGTAGATGTATTTATTTTGTCAGTTTAACCTTGATTTGAAAGCATGAGTAGCAAAAATAAGGGAGCCGCGGCCGCCGACCTCCCAGACAAGCAGCTGTGTTCCGAGAGGCAGCAGCTCCCAGCCGCTCCCTTCTCAAGATGCCAAGTGAGGAAGAGACACCTTCTCTCTTGAATTCCACCTCCCTCCTCTCCTCACGTGCGCCTGCGGTACTCACGGGTGGCTTTACGTTTGGTGTTTAGGGTCCTGCCTGTTGTAGCCTTAGCTGAGGGGAGCCTGGAGTGGGGAAGGCCAATCCTTGGAGGATGCTGCAGGCCACTTCGACCTTCTCCAGGGCTGCCTCCAAGGCTCCCTCCACTTCTTCAAAGGCGTAACCCTCTCCTGTGAGTTTTGCGAGAGTTTTGCAATTTTCCCATCGCCATTTGCCAGTGCTGCCTCTGGCCGTGGGGTTCCTGTGGTGGGTTCCGGGCGCACCGGAGTCCTGTGGGGCTGTGGTTTAGGAGGTGTGCCTGGAGCTCGTGAGCGGAGAGGAAGGGAGCTGGTCGCAGTCCTGTGACGTTCTGTGGGAGCTGACATTTCCACCTGGCAGTCTCCTCACCGGAGGCAGAGGAAGCTGGGCCACTTGCTGGATCAGAAGAGGGGTTAGATGGCCGGTTCGTGGTGAAAGGATCTCACTCGGGACCAGTCATGGAAGATCCGCACGGGCCAAGGTCTGGGGAAAGGGCGCCCTTCTCCCCAGTGCCCGCGTGTCGTCCACCCTCGTCCGCTGGTAGATTCCTCAACAGGGACTTACGGGCTGAGGGTCTCCTATGTTCTTGTCGGTTTAAAACTCTTTTTCTGTAACTTTTATACATAAAGAATAGCTCGGCCTGATGTAAAATCTTGGGTCTATATTTTCCATGACTTTCTCTAAAAACACTGCTAAGTTGTTGCCTTACTCGTGTGTCATGTTTTAGGAACTGGGAGGCGGGTCTAAGTCTCTCACCCTTTTAAATGACTGGGTCTTTTTGCTTGGAAGCTTTGAGGATTTTCTCTTTATCTTTAAATTCTAGTAATTTCACCAAGACATGTCTCGGAGCCGAGTGTTCCTGCCCAGGTGCCCAGGCCCTGGCTGTCGGCTCCGGCTGCCTCTCCCCGCGCAGTCCGCCCGCCGCAGTGCCACACGCTGTCCCTTCGCCGCGGCCTCCGACCAGCCGGGCGGTGTGGTCACCCAGGCCTCTCTCGTGTCGGCCGCTTTCTCCCTGAGCCTGTCGGCTTCGTCTTCACATCACTGGCACTCTTTCAGCGACGTTTCCGCCTTTCTTCAGCGTACTCCTCGAATATGCAGGTACGTCTCTCTGTTGTGCGCCTCACGCCTCAGTTTCCGTGTCTGAGATCATTTTGTCTTCCTTCCTTTTCTTTCCTGAGATCCATGCACTCGCTCTTCATTTCTTCCGTTTCTGCCTGTTTCCGCGTCGGCTGTTGAATTTCGGATTCGGGCGGGGCTAGAGACCCGGCAGTGCTTGCTGGGGTTTCACTCGGCGGCGTGGGTGTTACCTGCCGCTCACCTCCCGCGCCCTCGGGGGCGCTGTTCCCGGTGCCGCGGCAGGTTCGCCCGCACGCGGTGCGCTGCCCCGGCCGCTGCGCGGGGAGTG